CTACAGCGCCACTTCTGGTTTTCTGGTGGTTTATTGGAGATAGGAGTCTCACGGTCTCTCCTGCCCGGGCTGGCTTTGAACTGCGATCCTCAGATTTCAGCCTCCTGAGTAGCTAGGATTACAGGCGTGAGCCACCAGCGCCCGGCTGGAAACACTGTCTTTAACTACAACTTATTATTGCTAAGCATCCCTTTGGGTGACACTTGGCAGCCGGCTAATATACAACACCCTCAGCAAACACTGTTGCTATTTTAGGAAGCTGGAGGTGGCCTGTCTGTCTGTTGGGAAACTTACCGAGCATGAGAGAACATCTCTGAGCTCAGCACTTTTCCTGAGCCCCGGCCTGGGGCTGGGATGGTGGGCTGGGAAGTGGTGGGGGAAGGCCTCAGTCATGCGACCCCTCACCTGGATGGGAAAGATGCCAGGGAGAATGGGGCAGGTGATGCCCATGTCTGTGCAGGCCTTGATGAAGCGGAAGAAGGTGTCAGCCTCGAAGAAGAGCTGCGTGATGATGAAGTCGGCGCCCGCGGACACCTTCTCCTTCAGGTGCTTTAGGTCATCCTCAAAGCTCGCTGCCTCAGGGTGGCCTGTGGGGTAACCTGACAATAGGGAGCACAATTGAGTGGGGAGGAGGGCCGCCCCCACCGCAGTCTCCATGCCTGCACCCCCAGCACAGCAGATGGTTGAACACGGGAGCCTCCTGGGTGGAGGCTGGAGCTGCTCCCTTGGTGTGGGGGAGGAGAGTTACAGATGTCCCACCCCGTCCTGCCTCATCCAGCCAGTCAGATCGGGCTGCACCTGGAGGACCACTGAGTGGAATATGCACGCCCTGGCCTGGCAGGCAGCTTCTGGCATACCGTGGTATTTATGTATTGTACCCTTACTGGGGCTTGAATTCAGGGCCTGGGCGCTAGGCTGGTGTTCTATCATCTGAGTCACAGCTCTACTCCCAGCTCTTTAGTAATGGATTGGTAAGAGTCTTCAGGATTTGTCTGCCCAAGATGGCTTCAAACTGGGATCCTCCGATCTCAGCCACCTGAGTAGCTAGGATTATAGTAGGCATAAGCCACAGGTGCCTGGCTCTTATTTAATTCTGTTGCTAGTCAAGCGCTCTAACAGTTGAACCACACACCCGACCCTTTTTGCTTGCTTTTCAGAGAAAGTTTCGTGTTTTTGCCATGATCCTCCTGACCTCTGCTTCCTCTGCAGCTAGGATCACAGGAGTACAACTGCATCTAGATTCAATATTATTTCTATTTTTATTTTTGTGGGGCTTGAACTCTGGGCCTGAGCGCTGTCCCTCAGCTCTTCAGCTCAAGGCAAGCACTCTACGGTTTGAGCTGCAGCACCACTTCCGGTTTTCTGGTGGTTTTTATTGGCGATAAGAGTCTCACCGACTTTCCTGCCTGGGCTGGCTTTGAACCGTGATCCTCAGATCTCAGCCTCCTGAGTAGCTAGAGCCAACCGGCGCCGGGCTCAATATTATTTTTATGTATATGTGTAGGTATTGGGGCTTGAACTTAAGGACTATGTACTATCTTGTAGCTTTTTCTGCTCAAGACTGGCATGCTACCACTTGAGCCACATCTCTATTTCTGGCCTTTTGTGACCAGGACCCAGTACTTAAATATTTTTAATAGAGTCCAAGACTGAAAAGCTAGGATCTACATCACATAGGAAGATTAGAACAAAGTGGGGCTTTGCTTCAAGAAATAGATGGAGCTGGGCGCCAGTGGTTCACGCCTGTAATCCTAGCTACTCAGGAAGCTGAGATCTGAGGATCGAGGTTCAAAGCCAGCCTGGCAGGAAAGGCCATGAAACTCATATCTCCAAAAAACCACCAGAAAACCAGAAGTGGCATTGTAGCTCAAGTGGTAGAGCACTCGCCTTGAGCTGAGGGACAGCGTCCAGGCCCAGAGTTCAAGCCCCAAGACTGACACCCCCCCCAAAAAAAGATGGAGATAATACAATTGCTACTTTCAAACATCAGTCTGTCATAGAGTAAAAAAAAAGACTCACCCTGGTGAAATTTGTGTTGCTTCTAGTGTCAGGTCCAAACCCCACAAAACAAAGTCCTGGGGTCTAAATGCGAGGCAGTGGGATGACCTTGTGCTGGGCGTGAAAGGAATGGGGCCCCATGATTCCTGAGGGAGGGGCGAGTCCTCTAGCCCTGACCAGCTCTGGGCACTCTCACGTCTTCCCTGACCCAACTACTGGCAGCCACACGAAGCCAGGAGGGCAGGAAGACGGTGATCTTAACATAGCCCAGGAGGTAGCTGGTTTCTCCTGCCTGCACTCAACCCTGAGCTCAGGGGGGAGCAGCCCCAAGGCCAGAGCCGCTGGGAGTAGGAGAAGCCAGGTCCGGTCAGACGTACCTATGATCCTAGCGATTCATGAGGCTGAGATCTGAGGACTGTGGTTCAAAGCCAGCCCATGCAGGGAAGTCTGTAAGACTCTTATCTCCAATGAACCACCAGAAAACCAGAAACAGAACGATGGCTCCAAGTGGTAGAGCACTAGCCTTGAGTGAAAATGCTAAGGGACAGTCCCTGGCCCTGAGTACCAGCAAGCCCCAGTACCAACGCCAAAAAAAAAAAAAGGATATGAAACTCTTATTTCAGGAGCAGGGGAACTTTCAATAATGAAGCTATTCTTCTTTTAACAGGAAGTTCTGAAATGACACATTTATCAACACCAGCAAAACAAGGCTACCCCTGGATTTTGCTGAGTTTGTTTATGGCCAGCTGGGTGTAACTCAGTGGTAATCTTTTTTTTTTTTCTGTCAGTAGTGGGGCTTGAACTCAAGGCCTGGGCTCTGTCTCAGAGCCTCTCTGTGCTCAAGGCTAGTGCTCTACCACTCAAGCCACAGTGCCACTTTTGGCTTTTTCTGTTTATGTGGTGGTGAGGAATTGAACCCAGGGCTTCATGCATGCTAGGCAAGAGCTCTACCATTGGCCACATTCCCAGCCCCTCATTGGTCTTATCATCCTCCTTAAGCAAAGCACAACTACAAGATACTTCCTTCATGGTCCCCCACGGACTGCATTAGTGATGGCCAGGTGGAGCCACACCTGTTCTCCTCCTGATCCTAGCCCTGTCTCAGTGTCAGACACCTAGGCAGCCCTGCTGAGAAGAGCAGACGTGGACACAAGGGGCTAAGGAAAGGACCAACGTTATCCACAATGAATAATTACAAATTATTTCCGTTAAGCCATTTAAGTTTGTTGTTGTTGTAGTCTGAGACAAGGACTCAAACTCTTTTTTTTTTTTGGTCGGTCGTGGGGCTTGAATTCTTGAGCCTGGGCACTGTCTCTGAGCTCTTCAGCTCAAGGTGAGTGCTCTACCACTTGAGCCACAGCGCCACTTCTAGTTTTCTGGTGGTTCACTGGAGACCCTGTCCTGAAAACACCCAACACAAAAAGGAGCTAGTGGAGTGGCTCAAGTGATAGTGTCTGCTTAGCAAGCCAAGGCCCCAAGTCCAAACCCCAGTGCCACCAAACATGGATGCTTTCCCGAAAAAGGATCACTCCAAGAAGACAGATCAGCCCAGGCACTCAACCTCCAGTCCCTGGAATGCTTGGCTTCCCCATTCCCAGCCAGCCATTTCTGTCAGGTGAACTTGGCCCCCTGCCTGGGCTGCCCGAGGTACAGTAAAGCCAATTCAATTCTCTCTGCTGGGAATTTGGAACTGACACTCAAAACTGCCAATCAATCTAGGCTTCCAGCTGCGACTGATACCATGGACACAGGAATGGAATTAGGACACCAGTACAGGAAAGCATGCCCTTGGGGCCTGCCAGAGGGGGCAGGTGTGATATGGAAAGGGGAGGAGGAAGGGCCTTGGTTCTTCTCAGGCCAGTGCCTACTGGCATCTGATGCCATCTTCTCACTTTGGCTTGGGGATTCCCTATCTTTTGGAGTTTCCTTAGTAAATTCTGGCCCTCTGCTGGACAGGGCTGGGAAGCTTCTGGGAGTGTGAGGGGCAGTAGGCGGGTTCAAAGACAGCTGTGATTAACCTTGAATCTTCTCAGCGGCCACTGGCATCCCAGATCCTCATGTCCCAGAACAATACAGGCTGGTTTTCCAGGCCTCTTTTCCTTCTCTTCCTCCCCACCCACCAGGGCGGATGCGCTGGCCACTCACCTGCCACGCAGATGTCAAAGTAGTCCCCAAACTCGCTTCGGATGTGCCTCACCAGGTCTGCAGCACAGTTGAAACCTCCTTCCTCCGCCTCCCACCGGTCACCTATGGGGTCTGCAGGGTGGCTAGAGGTCATGGCTACTGGGTCTCACCTGATCTCGAGCCTTTTTGTACCCCTAGACTCAGGGCTGTGGGCGCCTCAAAGGTTGGGACTTCACACTGTGTAAGTCCGACCTCACAGCTGACAAGTAGTAGAAGACATAAGCCAGCTGTCAGATGTGTACCAAGGGCAACTTGGTGGGCATGGTGCTAATGGTGGAGGTGAAGTGGCTCTCCAATGAATCTGCAGGACCTGGGACCCCCCCTGGCTGGGCCCTGGGGCTCAGCAGCCCTCTCTCCCTGCCCTCCCGTGGGCCTGAGTTCCTGTCTCATGGAGTTTTCCACTAGTCTCAAGTTCTGCAGAGGTCCACAGACCCCTCCCGCCCATCAGCCTCCCTCAACCCAATCCTGGGTGGCCCAGTGGCACTGAGATGCCCCTGGGTGAACACCAGGCTGTGCTCTGCAACGGATCAGGCCAAGCACAGGCTGCCATCTATACATCTGTGCTGCTGGGACACAGGTTAGCAAGCACTGTCCGCATCCTGGCTGAACTCTTATGTCTGGGTTTTGAGGTGGAAAGCGGCAGCCCCATCTGGGTAGTGCTCCCCACAATGCTCACTGACGACAGGACGAGAGAGGACCCTGAGCATGCTCAGTTGCAGCCTCCGGCAAGTAAAGAATGTTTCTGGGGACAGGACACGCCTCTGGGGAAGCGAGAACCCGGGGGGGGGGGGTGCTACGGCATACCTCCCCTCAATGCCAAGATGTTCTTCAGGCCCAGCTGCTTGGCTTTGTGCAGATGGCGGGTGATCTCCTCCTGGCGCTGGCGGCAGCAGGTCATGTGCAGGATGGTCTCCAGGCCGCAGTAGTTCACTGCCGTGCTGGCAATCATCATGGAGGAGGTCTCCTTGTCTGAGCCAGGGTCCCCTGCAGGGTGCCAGGTCACATCGATGAAGAGGGGGCCACCTGTGGCCATCCGGTCAAACCTGTAGGGGGTTTCTTTCTGATGATGGGCCCCTGTGGGGGGATGCTGCCCCTCACCCTTCTGAGGGCAGGGCAGGGAGACTAGGAGAGTATACATGCAAAATCAGGTCAGCAACCACGTTCATCGCCTGGCTTCGCTGACTAGCTGTGTGATCTCAGGAAAATTCATTAAACTCTCTGAGACTCAGTTTCTTATCTAGTCCCTATCAACCAGGAGAACATGGTCTGAAACGGTCCACAGCACTTAGAACCGAGCCTGGGGCACACATACACATGCCTAAGATCGCAGAGAAAATGTTTTCACAGAGATGCCACTGGTTTGTGACATGCATCCACACCTCCCAACACGGTGAGGGTGAGAGGACTCCCCAGGGATTGGCAGTCATTTTGGGCACAGGCAGGCCAGTTCCTGAAGTAGTCTTCAAAGCCTGCATGGGCATGAGCACTGGCGTTCAGGGTTGTGACCATTTATTTAAATGTCCTGTGCCTTTAAACTTTGACCAACTTGAGAGCAACACGTGAGGAGTTTGGACAGGAAAAAGCATAAGCTTTTTTAAAAGAAAAGGAACTGAAATTCACCAAGTTTGCTAACCTAACTCAGTTGGCATTTCTAGATTTTGAGAAGCATAACCCCAATTCCCAATTTGCTCAACACATTCTCTAAGCTGCTATTCAGTGACTTCCTAAACGACCCATAATCCAGCCTCAAGTTCTGCCAAGGAATGTTATGTGGGAATCAACATATTTAACCCTTACAAGTGTTTGTCTAGAGCTGGGCGTCGGTGGCATACACCTGTAATCCTAGCTACTCAGGAAGCTGAGATCTGAGGATCGAGGTTCAAAGCCAGCCCAGGCAGGAAATTCTGTGAGACTCATCTCCAATGAACCACCAAAAAACCAGAAGTGGCACTGTGATTCAAGTGGTAGAGCACTAGCCTTGAGTTGAAAAGCTGAGGGACAGCACCTTGGCCCAGAATTCAAGCCCCATGACTGACAAAAACAAAAACAAGCGTTTGTCTAGAAATATCTGGGAAGTGGTGCTGTAGGTCAAGTGATAGAGCGCTCACCTTGAGCTGAAGAGCACAGGGACAGCGCCCAGGCCCAGAGTTCAAGCCCCATGCCCGACCCACCCCCACCAAAAAAAAAACCACATCTGAAATATAGAAATATCTGATGCTAAAGGAGTAAGAAGTCATAAACAGCCTCTCTAGCCTCTGGTGACTGTGTTTTCTTACTGGGTTAAAGCACAGCCCTTGGAGCCAGCCTTGGTAGCTTAGGTCTATAATTCTAGCTACTCAGAAGGCTGAATCTGAGGATCGCAGTTCAAATCCAGCCCAAGCAGAAAGTCTGTGAGACACTAATCTCCAATTAAGCATCAAAAGCCTGGAAGTGAGGTGTGGCTCAAGTAGTAGAGCAGTGGCCTTGAGTGAAAAAGCTAAGGGATAGAGCCCAGGTTCTAAGTTCAAAGCCTAGGGCCCCGCCCCCTCCCCCTTCCCACCCCCTACACACCCACAGAGGTACAGCCTTGGGACAGGGCTGACAGATGGTGTCCAGCTCACCCTTCCATAACATATACCAGCTCACCTTGAGACCAGGTTGACAGCTCCCTGAGCGGTTCGGGGAGGGAAGAATTCCAGGGAGAACCATTTGTCACCAGAGTCCATCCTCCGCTTCATCTTGTCCCGGAGTTTCTCGTACCGATCAGGGTCCAGGCCTGGTGTAGAACATCTTGAACTGTTTCTGGAGCTCTCGCTGCCACTGCTGCTGCTGCCCTCGGAGCGGGGGTTGGGGCCATCACTCCTGCCCACCTCATTCACCATGGCTGAGCTCCTGCTGCACAGGGTGGGGGCAGGGGGCATCAGAGAGCAGGCAGCTAAGCCCCAGGCACATCCAGACAGCTACGTAGAAGGCTCCAGCAAGGGACGCTGCGTTTAACAGGAAAAAAGCCAGTGTCGCTCACACGGCCCCTGCACAGCGGCTCCAAGCGCCACAGCTACGCCTGCGCCAATCTGCGCTGGCTCCTCGCAGGACAACCCCTCCCGGGCCCTGACACATGCGCCTTCCGCCCACAGATCCTCGGCGACAGCTACCTGATGCAGGGTGGTACAGAGAGCCCCACGCTGCCAGCCTGCGAGGCCCACTTTCGCAGGGAGGGGCAGCAGTGGCCAGCTGAGAGGACCCTGGCTTTCCGATGGTCCATCGCTTGCCAGCTTAGACCCAGAATGAGGATAAAACCGAGGAACCTTCTCCAGCGGGTGTGCCCAGCTGGGCGGAGCTGAAACAAAGAGCCCCAAGCTAGAGCTTAACAGCAGCTCCGGGGCGGGAGTAAGGCCTCCAGGCCACAGGGAAGTAGAAGGGGGGGGGGGAATAGGGGGATGCGGGCGGGGCACTGCAGCAGTGGGTGGAGATAAGGCCACCAGTCTTTCAGGGTCACCGGATCCGGCAGCAAGCTCAGCTGGGAACATCTCCTATTACAGTTTGTGTGCTGTGGTGTGGTGGGTTAGAACTTAACACTGACTGGGTTTCCAGAACCAGACAGATTCAAGTTTAAGGAGAGCCTGGATTCATGCCCAACTCAGAATAAAAGCTGTCCCCTCTGAGCCTGCCCTGCAGGACTTTCCTTACATGGGCTACTGAAGTTAAAGTCATCTCAGCAATTGCAGTTACCCCAGAGAGGAGGCCTGCTGGGCATGGTGCTGTATGCCTGTGATACCAGCTAATCAGGAGATGGGGGCAAGATAATTCAGACTTCAAAGCCAGCCGGGGCCAAAAGGTAGCAAGACTCCTGCCTCAAACTAAAAACAAAAGGCCTAGGGAGGGTGGGGAGGACATAGCTCAAGTGGTAGGCTAGAAAGTATAAGTATAAAGTCCTAGATTTGATCCCTAGGACTATATTGAAAAAGAAAGAAAGAAAAAGAGCCCTGGCCATTATAACTACAGGCTGGCCAACAGGGCAAGACACCATCTGGCAGTCCGGAGAAATTAAGACAAATACTGAAAACAAAACACAGCTCTTAGTCGGATGCTGGTGACTCACCCCTGTAATCCTAGCTACTCAGTAGGCTGAGGACAAAGGTTCAAAGCCTAACCAGGCAAGGAAGTCCATGAGACTCTTATCTCTAATTAACCACCAGAAAACTGGAACTGCGGCTAGAGCACTAGCCTTGAATAGAAGAGCTCAGGGACAGCACCCAGGCTCTGAGTTCAAGCCCTGTAAACTGAACCAAACCAAACCAAAAACAACCTCTTGCACACAAGCAGGTAAACACACAGTGGTGAAAAGTCAGCATGTGGTGTAAAGATCACAACCAGGCAACACCAGCCTGCCTCATCCCCTCCAGGATCTTCTATGGGAAGATTGTGTATTTTAACATCTGGGGTCCTAGACTCTCTTGGAACCCGAGGAAACCCAGAGCTCCTCTAAGACACCTGTAAGTGCACAATACATCTGGATGCATCCTAAGTCAAGCTGATTTACACTAAGAAGTTTTGTGCCAAGGCTGTCTCTCCCTAGGATGTCTGTTCAGATTCTGACCTACAGCCCCAGATTCCTGGGGGGGGGGGGAAGGGATAAAAGGCCCAGTAGCCAGGGCCCCCTCCTGCATTTAAGGGAATGTCACATTAGTTACCTGCTGGAACAAAACGTCCAGGACTGCAGGAGACTGAACTCCCTGCATACTAGCCTGCGCCATACTTCAAGTAACACCCACCGTTTAGCCATTTTAGGTTGGGCTGCCACAACTCCCAGGGCTGTAACCCCTGGGTTAAGAGATTTGTCTCAGCTGGGTGTCAGTGGCTCATGCCTGTAATCCTAGCTACTCAGGAGGCTGAGCTCTGAGGATCACAGTTCAAAGCCAGCCAGGGCAGGAAAGTCCGTGAGACTCTTATCTCCAATAAACCACTAGAAAACCGGAAATGGCGCTATGGCTCAAGCGGTAGAGCACTAGCCTTGAGCTGCAGAGCTGAGGGGCAGCGCCCAGGCCCTGAATTCAAGCCCTACAACTGACCAAGCTGACTGAGCTCAGGCCCAGGTATCCTGGCTGTTCTTGTCCATGTGGTAACAGTCAACTCTTCCTGAGAGCCAACAGGCCAGGCGGTGCCAAAATACCCCCCTGCCTAATACCGGTCATTGACTCGGGCTGTGTCCCGCTCGGGGACACTAAGCCCACCACTCCCGGAAGGGTCACGGAGGTCATCAGTGTGCAACAGACGCTGCGGTGGCAGGCCCGGAGGCCCCTCTTCTCTGGGGGCTCGTGGGAGAGGCAGGTTTAAGATCAGGGCAGGAAGTCACCTTGGGCGCCAGGGGGCAGGAGGGAGGGGGATCCGGTCACTGGGTCATGAAGGGGCGGCACGGGTCCAGGCCCCTGGATCCCCGGGGGTCTCTCTACCCGAGCAGGGGCCTCGGAAGCGAGTCTAGGCCTCAGGATTGGGGACCCCTGGCGGCAGGCCCTGGGGGTTACCCTGGGCCCGCTGGGAGGCGCGGGAGGGTCCGGCTCGCAGGCCGCCGGATCGCCAGCGCTCCTCGCCCCCAACGAGGTCCCCGCACTCGGCGGGCAACCTCGGGCTCCGAAGATCCCTCCCCGGCGACCCCAAACCTCGTCGCCACTCACCCTCCCGTCCCAGGTGACTCCGGAGGCTCGCCCGCCCGCGAGCCGCACCCGGGAGGAAGCCGGCCCCGCGCGCGGGGCAGCGTGCGTGCGGCGGGGCGGGGCGGTGGTTGCCTAGGGAGGCAGGACCGGGGGGCGGGGCTACCGTGCGGACGACCGGAAGTCCCGCCTCCAGCATGGCCGCGCCCAGAGGTCCTGTGGGATGCCGTCTTCTCGTCATGTGACGCGGGCCCTCGCCCCACCCGTCGGCAGCCACTCCCGGTCTCGGTCGCCGGGCTGGAGAGGGTCACGTGGGCCTCCTGGGGCCAGTCACGTGAAGCACGCATCCTAGGGAGGAGGGGTTTGGCTGAGGGGTCCGAAGTGGCAGTAAAAAGAGGAAGATGGCGGGGTGCAGGGGATCCCCGTGCTGCTGCTGCCGGTGGTGCTGCTGTTGCGGCGAGCGCGAGACCCGCACCCCGGAGGAGCTGGTGAGGCG